CTAATTCCTTATTTTGACTTGAAAAGTAGTGGAGCACTTAACTTCAAAACGTGTTGATCACGGCAGAGTCCCCATTTAAGATTCAAACAATTGAAGCCATTAATTCCACATTTTGACTTGAAAAGTAGTGGAGCACTTAATTTCAAAACGTGTTGATCACGGTAGAGTCCTCATTTAAGATCCAAACAATTGAAGCCACTAATTCCACATTTTGACTTGAAAAGTAGTGGAGCACTTAACTTCAAAACGTGTTGATCACGGCAGATTCCCCATTTAAGATCCAAACAATTGAAGCCACTAATTCTACATTTTGACGTGAAAAGTAGTGGAGCAGTTAACGTCAAAACATTTTGATCACGACGAAGTTCCCATTTAAAATCCAAATAATTGAAGCAACTAATTTCACATTTTGACTTGAAAAGTAGTGGAGCACTTAACTTCGAAACGTTTTGATTACGGCGAAGTCCCCATTCAAGATTTCTTATCATTGAAGCCACTAATTTCGCATTTCGACTTAAAAAGTAGTGGAGCACTTAACTTCAAACGTTTTAATTACGCCAAAATCCTCATTTAAGATCTAACTAATTCAAGCCATGCATGTGGCATTAGCATTACAAGTCCGTTAACCAACTTTCTGACATCAATGGTCCATTTGAACTTTCCCACTGAAGACTTGAAAAGTAAACTCCTTGTTTTTCTCCTAATGAAAGTCTTAGCATCTATGAGGTTAGATTTCTTTTTTCTTCTTTTTTTCTTTCCAATTGTTGAAATTTCAATGCATGCGTCCCCAATTCCCATCAACTAAGACATAAAGGAAAACTCCGAAATTCCAAGTCGTTGAAATTACATTATCCCAACTTTTACGCCTCATTTTTAATTTCAACTCAACTTTTACTCCTCATTTTTCTAAGAACTTGAAAGAAAGCATTAACGAATAAACAAAATTCCAAAGTTTTAGAAAGCTAACTGATATGATATTTTTTTTTATTGGCTCTGGACTGATTTTGGACAAAGAATTTATGCTTTTGATCTATGCTTGAATATAAATGCTTTTGACAAAGAATTTTACTAGTGCTACTTGCTGCTCAAGAACCTTCTCCTGTCTACCATTGCATTCAAGCCCAGGATCACGACAATGATGTCTGAGGTGGAGCGGGAAATGGATAGCCAGGCCATGATCATCACTGATTCACTGCACTTAGATTCTGTGCACGTATCTTGTCCTGCTCCAACCGCTTTGACGAAAACCATATACAGTATGCAAAGGCAAGAGATGAGGAATCGCTGCATTTCTGAGCTAAAGTGGCACTGGATTTTTTCCTGAGCAGATGTATTTGGATAGATATGTCGAGTACAGCAATGAATTGACCTTGTTCAATCGACCACTCACAAGAAATCGGAAACAAGAGTGGCGCTTTTACAGTAAATAAATGAATATACAAACCAAGGGCAAAACTTGGACCAAAACAGAAGGAAAATCAAACTCTACAATTCAATAAAATTTTCAATCAACTTATGTCTACCATTTGACTGACACTCTAACGTCATGGCTTACCTAGGCTGCATGACTTTTCTTTTGATATTTTTCAAATGTTATCCGATAACTGTAAATATTCGGCGAAACTCTTATAAGAAACTGTCTAAATATTAAGCTAATTTGAATGCCAAACAACCCCTCTCTCTGCTCTCTCTCTCTCTCTCTCTCCATGGGAAACAGGTTCTTGGCCTTGTCTAGGTGGGTTTTGATAGTAGCACTTCTTGTTGGGTTATCCGGAGAAACTTGTAACGCGAAAGACGACGGTACTGACTGTACCTCTTCCTGCGGCAATATCCACAACATAAGCTATCCTTTCCGACTAAAACATGATCCAAAGCACTGCGGCAATAAAAGGTATACTCTGTCCTGTGAGAACAACATTACACTAGTAGACCTACCTCCTTCAGGAAAATACTATGTCCAGGCAATCAACTACCACGACCAAACAATCCGACTCGTAGATCCTGGCCTCCAGAAAAACAATTGCTCCTCCATGCCTCAAAATTTTCCACCTTTTTTAAGAGGTCCATATTATGTATCTGATATGCTTTCGACACCTGTATTTTACATCAAGTGTTCGAATCCAGTGAATTCTTCTGTGTACGTGGACACTGCTCCATGCTTGAATATAAATGCTTCTTCTTTGGTCCAACAAAAGACGTACAGTTATGTGAAGGTTGGGGTTATGAAAGTGGGGGATTTGAATGAGGGTTGCAGCGCAGAGTGGGTGGCTTTGGTGCTCTTCAACTACTATCACTACAATACCTCTTATGAATCCATACACAGTGCCCTCATGTATGGCTTTGATCTTAGTTTTTGGCCTTATGATGAAAAAATATGCAAACACAAATGGAGGAAATATCATACATGTTATCCACACACCATCCCAGGTACGTGAATTCTAGGCCATGGCTTTTGACTATGTCTAATTTGTTGCACTTTAGTTTGTAATAGTGCATAGAAGGAAGTTAGGGGAATTCAGACTTCTCTAATTTGTTGCACTTTAGTTTGTTATCAAACTATGAATCTACACATTCAAAAATTTGTCAACAAGAAAAATTTGTCAAAAATTTTTAATTTCACACATATGTCTCACTTTGTCCAGATTCCAGGAAGGCCAACAATTTGCAGTCAAACTAGGAATTAAAAATAAAAATTCAATTTTAAACATTTAATTCATATTAAATATTAAAAACGTTATGTTAATTAAATTTTTTTTGGTCTTATTAAATTAAATTAATTAGAAATCAAAATTCAAAACAAAAAAAATCTCTCGTCCTCTCTCTTTCCAGGCCCCCCATCCTGAGTTACCCCAGCAAACAACGACCATGGCCGCCCGAATCCCGCTGGCGTTGTCATTTCGGTTCAACAATTTCTTAGACCACCTCCAGCAGGTCTGCCTTGCCACTCTCTCTCTCTCTTCCCCATAACCCCCATCCCATCACAACTTACATCATTTGATACCTGATCCAAACCCCCATCACCAAACTACCCACACCTTTGAATCAACACCCATCTCCCAAATATCCAATCCACATACCCACCAATCTCTTCGTCTCTCTCTTTGAGATGTGGGTTTGTTTTTCAATTTTTTGATTGATTTTGATTAGTTACCACAGTGGGGGTTTGGATGGGTTTGGGGTGATGGGGTGAGGTATTGGATGGTAGGGTGGTTGAAGAATGGTTGGGTATGATTTGGTGAGACAAAATGATAAATATGTGTGAAAAATAGAGAGACAAAATGAGTTTGTAAAGTGAGATTCAAATACACTATGTCAAAAAATAAGAACAATCTCATCCAGTAACACACCTTCATCTGACACCAAAATCTGTTTAAATTGCAAGCCAAAACATATGGCATACATAGGAATAGTACCTTCTTTTTTTCTTTTTCTTTTTTATATTTAATTATTATTATTATTTTAATTATTATTATTCTTTTTCTGTTTAAATTGCGGTAATTCATAATTAAATGTGTTATGAAATTTTAATTATAGATAAACTTACAACACATGACAAAGTTCTCATTGGATAATACTAGATAATCAATCTGTCCGGTACAGAGGAAGTTCTTGGTAAACTTTTTTTCCTTGGGTTAAGATGTTGTAACAAATTTCAAGAAAAATAATAAAAGCAGATTGACAATTTTTTAAAAATAATAATTAGTTAAGAATTCTTACAACATTAGACAATCTTTTCGGTATATCAGTGGGCTTGGGGCTTATGTTTTGCTTACATAAAGTCAGGTTCATTCTACGTGGATCACCGTATGTCATTGGGACAACAAATAAAGAGTTTCTTTAAAGAAAATCATAGCCTTCTAAATACAAAGAGAGTTGAAAAATGGGCTAACCAAGTATAAGTAAAATATAGGCTAACCAAGTATAAGGTCAAAAAATCCATATAAGTAAAAATATAGGCTAACCAAGTATAAGGTCAAAAAATAGCAACTAGTTTCATACACGGAGGGGCAAATGGTGTACTGATTGAAAACTTTAAGGTCGTTTTTGCCAATTTTTAAAAGATATAGGCAAATTGTACACATATCAAACCACAAGAATGGAAAATGTAATTGATCCTTAAGTTTAAGGACTTGGTGTGCTAATATGTTATCTTCTTCTTTGTTTATGTAGGTTTCTTTCGATTTCTAGGCAAGGTTATTTACGGTAAAGGCTCTCTCTCTATTTGGCTATATGTTATTTACTATTTTTTTAGTGCAAAATGAACCTAGGACAAAAGGAGCTTGTTACGGATTGAAGATACTTTTAATAACATTGAATGAGATGTTCACAAAAACAAAACAAAAATGTTAAGGGGCTACCTCTCATGCACAAACTATTATCTCAACTTGTTTTGTTTGAATTAGGTATGTGGTCAGCTTCCTTTAGACTTTTGGACTTATGAAATCCCATGTTCCAATTCACTTCGGAATTTTCCACTGGGAAATGTAATACCCAATATTATATCAAAACCCTCAATTAAAAAGTTTAAAATAAGATGTAATTCTCCTTCTAAATTGTATGGCAATATAAACAGCTTATCTTGTCAGACTGTGAATTTCAGACATAAATTTGACTCTTTCATAAGTGTCCAAATTCACAATTTGACAAGATAAATACTTGTCTCGCATGAGAACATTGCTCAAAATAAGACGTACCAAAACAATTTCTCCATGAGCAATGATGCAGTTTGTTGCTAGAATAGAGGTATTTCAAATTTTAATGACGCGATGTGCTAATGTTGTTTCTTTTTGGTTTTTCCCTTCTTTTTTTTTGTCACAGAAGGTTTATTTTCTGATGAATGGTACGTTGGTAAGGACTTTCTCCCCAAAAGCTTCTTTTATTTATTTATTTATTTTTTCCTCCTTTTTCTTGTCAATTACATCACGACAATTGTGAGTGGATACTAATGAACTTGTGATTAAAAAAAAAAAATTAAAAAAAAAAGTCAATTCAAACTTAGTCAAGTCTTTGTTGTATTTCTTGCAGGTTATCGTCCATGGTATTTTCCGTTCACAACCACCAGTGAGAACAGTAAGATCTTTTATTTCTTGCATATAATCAATTCTTTGATTTTGTTCACTTTTCGAAAACCTATAGTCAAGTCTTTGATTTTGTCCCCACTTTTGCTATATTTCTTGCAGGTCGACGTATATGGGCGATACTCATTTGGTCCGGTAAGGGCTTGTATATATTACCCTTGAATGACATCAAAGAATACATATTTCTAAAACAAAACAACAACAAAAATGTTGAAAGCGCATTAGTTGATCTAACCAATAAATTTGTTTTCTCATGATTCTTTTTGGTGATATATATCTCTTGTCAGGTTATCTTTTTCTAGCAAGACTAATTTTGGGGGTTCTATGTTTGATAGCGTTCATGATCTAGAATACATATTTCTAAAACAAAACAACAACAAAAATGTTGAAAGCGCATTAGTTGATCTAACCAATAAATTTGTTTTCTCATGATTCTTTTTGGTGATATATATCTCTTGTCAGGTTATCTTTTTCTAGCAAGACTAATTTTGGGGGTTCTATGTTTGATTGCGTTCATGATCTATAAATGGCGAAGAAGACATTTGTCGAGTTATAGCATCATAGAAGATTTTCTACAAAGTGATAGCAACTTTTTGCCAATAAGGTACTCTTACTCAGAAATTAAAAAGATGACAAGTAAATTTAAGAAGAAGTTAGGTGAAGGCGGTTATGGCTCTGTATTCAAAGGGAAGTTGCGCAGTGGCCGTTTTGTAGCAATTAAACTATTGGGCAAGGCCAAAGGTAACGGGCAAGACTTCACAAGTGAGGTAGCTACCATTGGAAGGATTCACCATGTTAATGTGGTGCAACTTGTTGGTTATTGTGTTGAGGGTTCGAAGCGCGCTTTAGTATATGAGTTCATGCAAAATGGATCTCTTGATAAATACATTTATTCCAAAGAAGGGAGTAACTTGCTAAGTTACAAGAAAATGTATGATATTTCGCTTGGAGTAGCTCGAGGGATTGAATATCTACATCATTGTTGTGACATGCAAATTTTACATTTTGATATCAAGCCTCATAACATCCTTCTTGATGAAAATTTCGTTCCAAAGATTTCTGACTTTGGGCTTGCGATATTCTATCCTGCGTATGACAGTATTGTCTCGTTAACGGCAGCAAGGGGAACAATGGGTTACATGGCTCCTGAGTTGTTCTACAAAAATATTGGTGGCGTCTCATACAAAGCTGATGTCTATAGCTTTGGAATGCTATTGATGGAAATGGGAAGCAAACGAAAGAATTTAAATGCACGTGCAGAGCATTCAAGCCAAATTTACTTCCCCTCATGGGTGTACGATCAGTATAAGGAGGGAAAGGAGTTGGAGATGGAGGATATAACAGAGGAAGAAAAGAAAATCGTAAAAAAGATGGTTATAACTGCCTTGTGGTGTATTCAAATGAAACCAAGTGATCGTCCGACAATGAACGAAGTTATAAAGATGCTCGAAGGAGATGTTGAAAGCCTACAAATGCCTCCTAAGCCTTTTCTATGCCCTCAAGAGATGCCTGTAGATATTCATGATAATTTGAACCATACATGTTCTAACGTAGAGGTGACATGTACTCTGTCACCTAGGTGATGATGAGGTAGCAACTTTTGCAATTATTTTTTAAACACTCTCCAGCACTTGTGCAGCGTTTCTCTACTTGTTTTCTTGGTTCTGATGTTGGGTTTTCGGGTAGTTGTTTTTCGTGTGGGTGTCTAGAGTAGTGTTGGGCTCCTAGATTAGTTTTCTTGGGTGTCTAGATAAGTTTGGGTTCTCTATCTAGTTTTTTTTTTTTTTTTTTTTTCCCGAACTGCTCTATCTGGTTTCAGTTTCTGCATTTTAGTATGTTCTTATGTACGGAGCTTCATTTTCATTGAATTTCTCATTTACGGAAAAAATAAGAACTCATGCTGTTTTGATGTATTTGATTCAGGAACGAGTACTATTTTTAAAACACTAAACTCTTGCCACTTTGTCTTCTTCTTTTTTTTCTTTTTTTTTTTGGGAATCAAGTTTCATTAATAAAAAGTCAATGATGATGTATAGAGAAACTCAAAAAAAATGAGTTCAAACACTAAAAAAATAAAACTCAAAATAGGCATAACACCTACAACTGGCATAAAGTCATATTCCAAAACAGGCATCAAATCAGAACCAACCAAAAACATAAAGCGCACAAATAGCAAATGCCCATAATAGATAAAAGCCCAAAAAATACAACATTGCCTTAAGAAACTCTAAGACAAATAAGATACATGCGCCGTGCACAATCCAACAGCCACAAGCCTCACAACCAAACTAAGTTGATAACCACCAAAGAGAAACTAGTAACCAATGAAAAATGGTGGTGGGGAAGCCACCCACGCTACAACAAGTACAACGAGCAGTGATACCATAATCCAAGCAATAAGTGCTATTTGCACTTTAAGGGCATCCCAAACTCCAAAGGTGCCATCGAGGAAAACCGACAGGAGAGACATATCTAGAGTCAATGAGTCAATGATAGTTGTTGAGATTCAACGATAACACGCAGCCTCCGGCGATAAGGAGAGAAAAAGCATAGCAAAACTTGTAAACACACCACCCCGAAAAAACCGGTAATTTCGCCTAAAACAAAAAACAACCAAGTTAAGAGGAAAAAAAAAAAGAAAAAGAAAGAAAACGACTCTGCAAAGCAGTAACCCAAAACGTGGAAGAGGAAGAAAGAGAATGAAAAAGGGAAAGATGGAGGAAATGGGGAGGGACCAGGGCCAAAAAAAAAACAACAGGAACTCTTGCTTTTGTACGGAGCTTCAATTTAATTGAATTTCTCATCTATCGATAAAATAAAAAGAACTCTTGCTGTGTTCTATCAATAGTATAAGCTTATTTTTAAACACTAAACTCTTGCCACTTTGTCTTATTTTCATTTCAAATTGGAGCGCTTGCTTAAGGGTTTAAATTCCACAACTTATGGGAGTTTAAATTTCACAAACTATGAAATTTATATGGTTTGACAATCACAGTAGAAGCTGAAATATACATATACGTACATGTTACTCTATTAAGCAATTGCTTCCAACTCTAGGCGTTTTGCAGGGATGCTTGCTTGTGTTGTTGTAGGACCCGCAGAGACAAAAGGATTAGGGGGCATGGTCATGTTTTCTCCTCCTTCCAACATATGAACCGCTATTTTCATAGACGAACGATCCACTGGGTGCCACGGATGCACCACAGCCTTACAATTCACTACAATAATATTGAGCACTAATCACTAATATTGCACTCACATAACATATTAGTTGCAGTTGTCCCTTAAAAAGGTGAAATGTTACTGTTCATATGATGACCAAAATATTAAGACTATTTATTAGTTTATTTTTATGTAACCAACAGATGAAAAGAGGCTAGACATGTGGCTCTTGTGGTTATGCAACTAATTCACCTAGAAACTAATGGGTAGTATGTGGCTATTGTTTGTTCAAATTTCTCACAGGTGAATATTCGCGGGTTGATTCTTTGATATTTGATCTTCCTTTTCTCTCTTCCTTGATCCCTGCGAATTAAATAGGAGTAAATAGACCACACCCGGGTGGTGTTGACCAAAGGTCCTCCGATGCCTAAGTTAGTTCAATTGGATCTTTGAGAAAAGATACGACAATAGCTAAAATGGATTGAGTTTTCTCTCACTAGGCAAGTCGGGTGGCCTTAGTTGTGTGTGTGGTGGTGCTTAGCCGTGTGAGGAGAGAGAGATGTGTTGATTTTATGCTTTTTAAGTTTTTCTTTTGACTTCCCTTGACAATATTGTAATAGGACATACATTGTACTTACCCAAGCTCAAGTTTAGATTAATAATTGTTTCTCTAAGTGTTCTTATCTGGCTGTTATCTTATGGAGGATCAATCAAATTGACAAAGATAATTTGTGCATATCATCCATTAGAATTCTTAAGATTTTGACTAGTCATCTTGTTTTCATATGATTAGTCATCCTCTGCATCAGTAGGATTTCCAGATGGATCCTAACAAACCTTTTTGTCCTATTCTACAAATTTTCTTAGCTTGTCATGTGTACTATTCTGACCTAGGAATTTTTGGGTAAAAGCCCATTGATTCCTCATTTGGTAGCTGTAAACTTTGAGGTAAGGTTTTGAAAATATTTTTGCTACCTTTTTGCTCTCCTTCCTCAAGAGAAAACGATCATTTTCATCTATGAGTTTTCTAAATTGATTTTAAAAAATTGCTTTTGAAATATGAAATCTGCATCTAGCTAGAACAAACACATTCTCATATACATCTAGGTTAGATTAAAGATTGGTTTCTTCAAGAAATTGGTCATTTCTCCTTGAATCCATATTGTTGGTTTCTGTTCGAGTTTGAGCTGGCTAGCTGGTGCCATGGGATGAAAGAGCTGAAGAAGGAGCTGCCATTGCCATGAAGGACTAAGCTGCTAGCATTGCTAAGTTGGAGAAGAAGATTGCACAAAGGAAGTATAGCTTATCTTCCTAAATAGACCTAGGATTTCTTGAGCTTGCTTGAGTTTCTTTATAAGAATCTTCTTTGCTTAGTGGATTGCTTGGTCAATTGATGACCTTCAATTTTCCCCAATAGTGGGTTTCTGGGTAAACAATTTTCTGGTTTGTAGTTTCGTTATTTTCTAGGTTTGTGTTCTTGACTAGTCATCGCATAATGCTCATGCATATGGATTTGTGTTCGTGTAGTTGACTAGTCATCATTATCTGCTATTTGCTGTTTATTTGATTATGATGTATTCACACAATTTCACCATAGTTGTTGCTAGCACAGGGGATGCCTAGATTGACGGGTCATTTTGAGTGCCTAGGTTGTCACTAGTAATCTTCTAGGCTTGCATGTGTAGATTGTTATGCTTTGTGTGTGTGATCTTGGTTATGGTTTTCATGACTAGCAGTTGACTAGTCATAATTATATTTGGTCAAGTCTTAAAGTGTGTGAATATTGTTGTATCTGTTTGAATAACATTTAAATTTACCCCTCGTCACCTAAGTACCAATTTCAATTGGTATCAGAGCATCAGCTCTTAACACAAATAGAGAGATCCTAGGATTTGTTTTGGTGTTTAGGTGTGCTCACTATAGAAAGGGAACAAGTTGCAGGATTTTGTAACTCCCCCCTTTTCTTTGATGGAAATAATTATGCTGCATGGAGAGAAAAAATTGAGATATTGCTTGATGCTTTTGATGAGTATGCAAATGAATATCTCACAACAGAGTGGTTACCTCCAGTCAAGACTGTTGAGGGTAAAGTCGTGCCCAAACCTAGGATCCGAATGGACTGAATCTGAGTCATTTGCTACACATTCCAACAAGAAGGCCAAAAATGGCTTAGTTACAGCCCTGTCTAGCACACAATTCTCACACATACAACACATTCCTAATGCTAAACAGGCTTGGGACAAACTAAGGGTTGTTCACAAAGGAGATGACCAAGTTAGAACACTGAAACTTCAAATGGTGCTTGCACAATTTATAGAACTTAGGATGTTTGAAACTAAGCCTATTTCTGAGTTATATGGGAGAGTTGAGATGATCATGAATGAAGCCATGAGTCTTGGTCAACCTATTGAAGAACTTCTTATTGTTCAGAAAATTCTTCGTGTTCTTCCTTCTATGATTAGAGCAAAGAAAACCGCAATCATGGAAGTCCATAACTTAAATGAAATTAAGCTTGGCAAGCTTGTAAGTAAATTGAAAACCTATGAGATGAAGTTGAACATGGAGGAAAATGACACTAAAAATTAAAAATAAAACATTTGCACTACAAAGAGTGCATGATACCTCATTGAAAGATGGTGAAAAATCCTCAGCTTCTGAGGATGAGATAGCTTTATTTGTCAAAAAATGTAGAAGAATTCTCAAGGATAAAGGGAAGTTTGCACGAGATGATAGTTCTGAAAGTGAGAGAAAATTTAGACCATCAACTGATCGGTCTAATGAGCGAAACAAGGATGTCAAACCCTTCACTAAAGGGAAGTTGGGCACTATACTACCGATTGTGCAAACAACCAGAAAAAAATACTCCAAAGAAAAGGACAAAGCCATGAAAGTAAGCTGGAGTGAGAGTGAAAGTGATGTATCTCAAGTGGATTCATCTTCTTCTGATGACCAAAAACTTGCCTTCGTTGCCTCTGTGCAACTGTTGTCAGATAAATCTGGTTCTAATTCAGATGACCAATCATATGAGTCCTTAGGAAGAAAATATGATTGTTTGTTCAAAGAGACTTTTTCCTTGAAAGATGAAAATCTCAAACTTGAGGCCAATAACCATGAACTCCAACATAAAGTTTTCACTTTAAAAGAAACCAAAAAGGAGTTGAGTGACAAATTTGAGTCCCTAGAAAATGAAATTGTTGAGCTTGTGTCAATTAGGAGAAATCTTGAAAATCAAGTAAATATGCTAAATGAGAGCAGTATTGGTTTCTAAAATTCAAACAAACACCTCCTAAGTGAATTGAATGAGGCAAAAGGTAAGGTTATATCGTCGACCATTGGTGCCTCAAAAATTGACAAAATGTTGAATATGGGAAAACTTCATGGGGACAAAGGTGGTCTTGGATATAATCACTTTGATTCTAGTGCGTCTAGTTCTACCACTAAGTTTGTCAAGTCTACAACTCAAGTCATTGCACCACTTGATATACAACATGTAGTCAAGAAACCAAAGTTTGTTCGAACATGTCACAAGTGTGGGTTGACTGGTCATATTCGACCAGTCTGTCATATGTACAAAAGAGATCATACCAAAAAATTATCTTCCGTGTCTAGAAGGAATCCCAGATCTTTGCAAGATCAGGTTGATCATTT